ATGAAAGATGTAGATAGAGACATCATTTCTCCAACATATGGACTAGGTGTATACTGGGACGTACTCGGAGGCGGAATACTAGGAACATATTTCATCAATATCAATGTCGGGATATGAGGTGCACCAAATAATGAGGGTGTCCCAAACCCAAAACCACTAATGTCACCAATATACGTGTCATGTGCACTACCATACACATACTTTGTGTCATCTCCATAGGAGGTTAATGTAGTGGCATAATATGTCCCTACAGGCGGGTCACTTACAGGAACTGGCACCTCTAAACCCTGGTGATCAACCCGCCTTCGTGGACGACTTAGCCCTCTTCCTTCTCGTTGACCAATCCCAATATGCTCCATTTCCATTAGATCAGGATGTGGTAATGTTGCAAGTCGGTCGACGTAGAAGGGAACCTCACCCTAGAAACCTCGTCCTACAGTTGCAAGCATTGGCCGATGATCTCATGCATCGACAAAAAATCAAAGGAGTCCTGATGTTCTTCATTGGTTCCATGATACATGTGCTCTAAAACATCGGTCTAAAAATAGCATAAAAGATATCATCATAAATTTTGAATTATTTAAATTACTAAAGTAAATAGTTTAATACATGCCAAAAAATTTACTCACCACATATCATTTCCTTGCACTTGTAGGAGATATCCATTGTTTAGTGTGCTTCCGAAACCACACCATGTATTCAGAGTTATTGTTCAAATGTGGTGTATCATACACATCTTGTGTCCAGATGGGGTCAAATTGTGATTGTCACTCCTGTACAAAGTGACCTGAATGATTGACTAGTCCGTGTAATCATTGCCTCGCAACGAAAGGTCATGCAATTTCTCTAGATAAATAGGAGGCGTAAGAATGTGTAGGACCATGTCAAATTGTCACATGACACGATCTGTGTAATGATACTCGATGATGTGAAAATTAATCAAGGAGACAGTAGACCTCCAAACTTGTGAGTCCTCAACATAGTAAGGAGGCAATGTAGGCAACAACTCCAAATATGGTTGCCATTAACTGTGATAGAAAATAAGAAATAATTACTAACCAATTATGAATTATGAATATAAATAAATTTGAATAAAATTTTTAGCGTATCAAACTAAAAACTAACACTTACATCCCCTCTCTTCATACGGTTAAGATATTTTTGATACTTCACAATTTTTTTTTCTCTCTCTAGGTTTATGTAAGACACTAGTTCACCTGTTATAAAAAGAAAAAAAATATTAGTACTTTAATGTACTTACTAACCTTGAACATCAAAGATGGATAAAGGTGGATGAGGTGGTGCAAATATAGGGAACTAGTACCATGCCCATAATTGCACCATAATAGCTAAACTACCAATTTCCTTATGGTCTTAATTGATGTAGACGCACAACTCCCTATACATGTTTGCCAAGATGCATGAACCCCAACTCATACGACCACAATCATCGTAGTCTTCAAACATAGCTAGGTATTTCAAGAATACAAATGAGCTTGAGTGATCAGTTAATAAATAGCCGTCGATGATTCATAAAATGAATGCTCTAGTTTAGCGTTGTTGACTATGGACATGCTCAGAGACATAAGAAAAGTGGTGATCAATCCAAATCATCCTCAATCGACCACCAACTAGCACAGACTCAAGGGGTATAATGCCCAAAAGGCGTTGCACAAGATCAACTCAATCCATAATTGCAAATCCAGTAATGGACACACCTGATATCTTCAACCTAAGTAAGATAACAACATCCTCCAATGTGATCGTACACTCGCCAAAGGGCATGTGAAAACTGTGGGTCTCTAGTCTCTAACGTTGTACTAGGATAGAGATCAAATGATTTTCCATAGAAAAGTAACTAATCTAGGTCTTGCCTAAAAACCCAACGCTCTACAATAGACCCTGAATATCAACTAGAATCTCACCATCACGAAACTTGATTTATGTTGCTCTTCTAACCTTCAAAATCTTATCTTCAGCTTCATTCCATATGTGCTCAAATATATGAAATGGTTGTAGTCTCAAAAGGGAATCATCAATAGGTCCTAAATGCACAATTTGTCTAGACATCCTAAAATAGACAAACAAATATATAATTATACGATAAACTTAATATTATACACCAATTTAAATAATAGTCATACAACATAGAATCTATTATTACAGTTAAATTTTTAAATAAATCCTAAATTAAGAACAACACAAAATAAATATTTAATAAAACACTAATACATATTACACACAATTTCATCTCAAATGACCAAATAAATTAATTTATATTAATTTATTTCAAAAAAAATATTCATTCTAATTATGAACAACAAAGTTATTAATATTACTCAAATATAAACAACAAAGTTATTCAAACCACAACCTTTTTTTTAATTCTATTATTTACATAAATAAAATTTATAAATAAATAACTAAATACAATATTTTAAAAAAATTACATACCACAAAACTTATACAATAAATTAAAAATTTAAAGTAATCAAACAAACATAGATAAACCAATATTCATACTATTCTTATCCAAAATTAATATATATATATATAT